TTGTGATGCCAATATTTCTTCTGTTAATATTCCACTGAGCAATGGCTGATAGCATTGGTTAAACAAGTAAAAACAAAAATAAGACAATGACCATGAAGTTCAGTCAGGAAACTCTATTTGACACAAGCCGATAGATCCTTGACGTGTAATCTGCTAGTAATCACATTGTATTCTACATGGTGCAAGCCATGGCCACTCATATATCTACAACCAATGAGCTTGCAAACTCCATATTAAAGCCAGATATCACTGTTCCTCTGACACCCTCCTCCTCCCCCAGCACCACCTGTGTACATCTGTCACAGTGGACATGATGCATGTCAAATTGTGCAGCTGCATTAATAACAGCAACAGAGCATGCAACACATCTAGTTAACCAAGACCAAACGCATAAACACTGTCATATACATTAACATGCTTAAAGTTGTCATGACTGAATTACTGTCAGTTCTAGATTAGATTTTACACCTACGTATGTCACCTGTCTGAGGATTTAATAAGTATATTTCAGAAAATATAAGTAGGGTACAACAGGGCTAAAGGCAAACATTAAAGGGCTCATGACATGAGAGATCTTAAATTAGCCTTGATCATATAAAAGGGCTTTGTAGCATTAAAGTCAAATGCACCTTGAGCCCTGCTGTAAGGCAGGTGTGTGTGTGTGCTCTCATTCACCTGTGAAGATGAGCAGGATGCCCACTAACACTTGCAGACAGAGCGACAGGCTGATGAGCGTGATCAGGGCCGTGTACATGGTGTTTTGGGGCCCCTGCCCCAGCACAGCCTTCAGCTGCGAGGCGTTAGCCATTAGCAGAGCCACGTCCAGCATGCTCTCTGCCGCGCTCTTCTTATTAGCATAGTGATTCATGTTTAGAGGAGCATGCGACAGGCCGAGACTTTGAGAAACCTGACAAGAGAAACATGGAGAGAGAGGACCGTTATCATGCTAAAGCCAATATTAAAGGTGACATATCATGAAAATCTGACTTCTCCAGGTTTTAAGTGCTATAATCAGGTCCCCGGTGCATCTACCAACCAAGAAAATGTGAAAAAGATTAACCCAGTAACTTTGTTTTTGCAAGCCTTTGAAAGAATTAGCAAGTCTGATTTCACTCCCTTAGTGACGTTGCAAAGGGATCTCATTATAATATTACTGCCCCTTAATCTGTAAGTTTACACCCACGTTGCCGTCATTTTGATTTCACAAGCAACAACGGTGTACCAGCTTTAATACCATGGTGAAAGTTTGAGCAAAGCATGCTAACAGTTCTGTCTTTGGCTGCACAGACGAGCACAGAACACTGTTTAGAGTCCCAGCCTCAGAGACAACAGAGCAGTGGATTTATTGATTTATTTACTGTATATTGCTGCTGCCACACAAATCTAAAATAAACATCCGATTTATTTCCCAGCTGTTTATCTTCACAGGGTGTTTTTGTAACTCATGTGTGTTTTACATTACCAAGCTTGGCATTGAAAATGGTCAACATGTGACCGAAACGTTTGCCT